TTTGATTTATTGACAAAAAGGTTTATTACAAAAAGGTCTATTTACTCTAGACGAGGAGATCATAAATTGGCTATTTATTTAATTGAATTAAAATTTATTTAATTTAAATCTTTCATTTTTTAAAATTAATGATAAATGGATGAATTATCCAGCGCATTAAATGACCGACAAAAGTTTTATTTTGACATGGATATCTGTGACATTTCTGGACATAAAGTCAAGGTTTTTCATCCGGCATTCTGGGCAGAAAAAACTGAGCACTTGTGGCCCCATATATATGCACGATTAAATACTTGATACATGAATACTTAATATTTTATAAATACTTGATATTTTATAAAATTATATGCGTTATTCTAGAAAACCTTATTATAGAAGAGAAATAATAAAATGATTTTAAATGAACTCGGTCGATCTGTACTATATTTCAAAAACGACTTATTTTAGTACGGTAATCCAATTTATTTTCTTGTATTAATAATTTATTAATCTTTTTATATTTTAAAAATTCAAATTTATATTTTAATTTGATACTGATTTGTTCTTCCTACTTTATTTCTTTTACAGTTAATTTTCTTATACCTCTAACCTAATATTTTAAACACCTACAAAATGACACAATTTCATTAATTTTTTATATTCTTATATATGATCAAAAACTCGGATATTTATTTTATTATTTTTAAATATATTTTGTTAGATATATATGTATATACACACACTTATTTATGGAGCAGCCAGGATAAGAAAATAATGAGTAAAACTTTTTTTTTAAGTTAACAAAAATAAGTTGAAAATAAAAATATATGTTGAAAACTTGAGAAAATTTGGGTTGTATAGCTAGTAAACTTTAAATGATAACCTATGTTTTATTTATATTTATTGAATTAAACGTTTATATATTATGTGCTATAGAATTTTTTTTTTAATTATTCTTTTAGGTATTTGGTTTTTTACTTTATCTCTATCCTACAGGATCATTGACAACACCTCATAGACAACTTAAAACACTGTTATAGAGTTTCACAGTTTTTAAGAATGCAAATGTATTTTTTTCACTATATTATTTTTAGATTTAGAGCCTTGGTTTGGAATGAAAGGCATTCTTGTAAAACGTGTTTAACTGTTTCTTTTTTTTAAACGTGAGTATATTTCCTACTTATTAGTTATTAAATGAATACAACTTTTTGAGATAATTAGGTATTGTGTTGGAGATAGTTTATAGCTGAAATGTAATAATAAAAAACAACATAATTGTTTGGTCCCATTAGGAATTGTTATCTTATTTCATTAGTTCAATTTATTTCCTAAATGAACTATTACTTTAATGTTTGCCTCTTCAATAGCTCGATAAAAAATAGTTCAGGAATGAGTCATAGATTATATTGTATTCAAAGAGACTGAATCATAACAGTAATTCTGCTTGTTTATACAAACAGCTGATTCATCTTTACAATAGTTATTTGTTTTTATTTAATTATATAACAACTGTAATTGTATGCGCATACCACATTATCACGAACTAATATCCTTGGTTGAACGATCCCTTAGCACTTATTACACAGCAAGATTTGCTATTTGAAAACAATTGTTTCTTATAACTAGAAATATGTGATTTATTTAAACCTACAAGACTACTAAGAGAGAGATCAACAAATTGATTAGCAAAAAGAGTGGAATATTAATGTTGGAACGATTGAACTTAGTTTTGAACATACATTTTTAAAAATTAAATTGAGTCATTACTTAATAAGAGTACTCCTAAGTTTGGTAAAAGCCACTAGCGGATCCAAGATTTAATTTTATGGAGGGGGGGCTTCAACCCAATTTTTTTTTTTTCATATATATGAAATGGCGTTTAAGTGAAGCCAAATGTTAAATGTAATTACACGAACAACAATATTTTAATAGATAATTTTTCAATATTTTTTTGTATAAGATAGGGTTATATTTTACCTTTTTTGGGGGGGAGGGAGGGAAGGAGACTTCAGCCCGGTAGCCCCCTCTTCCTCGCCCATTTTAAATCCGCCTGCGGTAAAAGCTAGCTCATGATAAATTATTTCAATATTTCTTGTTCAGTTAATGAAATAAATGTTTTAACAAATTGAATAATCAACCATTAATTGTTTATAATTTAAGGATAGTTTTCACATACCGGCATATAGCGGATCCAGAATTTAATTTTGGGAGAGTTTGATTTATTTTTTTTTAATAACAATTACTTTGTAAGAACAATAAGTTATATAAAATAATGTTTAAGGAGTTCTTGAAGGCCTGTAAAAAGAATAAAACAAAACTATTTACAAAAACTATAATTTTTTTCTTCTTACGTACATTAAACAACTGAAATGTATGCGCTACAATTTAAAAATAGACTATATTTTCAGTTACCCTTATCCAAACTAATCTAGGAGTTTCAGTTTGTAAGAAACTCAGCTAATATATTTTACAGTTTAAAAGCAACAAAAATTGTGTAGTTTTATTTTTTAATATGTTTTGGGTGATGAGATACTACATTAAATATGAATCATTTATTTCCAAAGTGAACCTTTCACAAAATTTCAGGAAACACGAAATACTATATCGACAGTCACACTGCAAAAGTCTGTAAGAACAATTTCTATGGAAAACGAGGTTTGGAGCTTTTCTGGTCACTCTTGACCTGAAGAATATTCTGAACCCACGAAATGAAATCTGCGGTGTTTCAGTTCTTCTCCATTGCATTTTGTAAAAACCAGTAACTTAAAAGCAGAAAATTGAGATGTAAAAAACTGTAAGTTTGCAGTAAAGGTTATTGAGATTGCATCCTTACCGATAAAATGTAATGAAATACCAAATGAGAGGTGGTCATGTAAATATAGAATGTATAATGCGTTTTGCGCATAGACTACAGTATCAATTGGCTGAAATTTTTCTCATACGCTTTGTATTCTTTTTTTAAATCTCTAATAAGTGGCAGGCAATACCAGCTCGGCGCCTATGGACAAATGCACGGGTTTCCATGAGGTCGGCATTGCTTATCATGGAACTAGAAGCAAAGAAGCAAAGAAGAGAGTGGTAAGTGGGAATAAAATGTGGGCGGGGTGGCCGAATGGGCTAACACGTGTCCACAGCACCACCGTTGCCCGGCAACCTGATATATGATAAATGATATAAAAATAGTCAATCGAAATCTCCTGGACACTACAAAATGAGCCTGACTGGAACAAGGTCGAAGCTACAATGTCGCCGATTTCCAGATAGTGAGAGACAGAGAATTGATTTCATTGATTGGAATCTTTTTTTTTTTGTTTTCTTATTTTTTATTATTTCTTAGTCATATTTACAACTATATTAAAAAAATACATCTAGTAAATTTGAACATATGGATATAATGACGTGAAAAAACTTGCTGGATAACTACCCAATGGCAGCACTCTAAAGATATGTCTACATTAGGAGATCACGGATATAGCAAGCTGTATATATAGCAACCCAATATAATTGGTCAGCAATCTTTTATATTTTATATTGTTATGAAAATAAAGTGTTTCTCTCTATTTTAATTGACATATAGTTGTCGTTTCCACATAAGGTCATCCTCAGCAATAACTAAAAACTTTTACATTCAATCTACAATAAGCAATCCAGTAATAACAATAAACAATTACCTGAATGTCAAAAATCACAATTCACATTCTTTTTTTTTTTTAAGCAATAACAATTTTATTTGTAAAGTCCATTTTACTTATCGTAGACAATGGACACTACTTAAAAAAAAACAACTATATTAAAATTTAACTGAAACAAACATTAAAATGATACCACCCTTCGCGGTAAACCTACAACATCCTGTCCTACCGTATCCTTTAACAATATTCCACTGATCCCTGTCGAACAGATTCATTACCTAGGACTCCTTCTTGGCAAACGCCTTACCTGGAATCATCATACTATACCTAAAAGACAAGAAACTCCCAATAGATTCCGACTACTACAACACTTACTTGACAAACCCTCTAAACTTTCAATATTCTATAAAAAAACTCATTTACACTACCATCATCAGGTCCATTTGGACATATGGTATTGAGCTTTGGGGCTCTACAAAAACATCAAATTCTTCCTGAGTCCAATCCTTACAATTCAAAATCCTCCGTAAAATCCTAAATGCTCCTTATTATGTAACAAATAAAATTATCCATAAAGACCTCAACATTCCTATTGTGGAAGACTTGGCCCGAACCAGATATACATTTTTTTATTCCAAACTCTTTGATCACCTCAATCATCTAGTTCGTAACCTTTCATCCAATACAATTCCTTACAACCCTCCGAGGCATCTGAAAAGAAGATGGCCAAGGGACTTCCTTAATTAATTTATCTTTGAAGTGTGACCAATGTTTAGCTTCTTCACATGTACTTTCATGTTGTATATTCCTATAGCAGATTTACTAGTTATAAATTTCAACAAAATAAAAAAAATATATATCAAATGTCAAAAACCAAAAAACTCACAATGTTTATATGCACATATCAAATTTAATTCAATTAAAATTCTTTCAATTCGTCAATTTGATGAGTATCCAAAAATCCATGAACAACCATTTACTTTCTAGTATACATTAGATAATTTTATCACAAAATCGAGAATAACGGTGACCTACATTTTGTTGTGACGTCGAAATAACGAGGTTTTATAGGCTTAAGAACCCAATATTTTTATAGGCCACCTATTTCCTCGATTTTGCTATCAAATTATCTTACGATTCAAGTGGAAACGAAATGGGTTGTCATGAGTTTTTTAATACTTCATTACATATAGTAATTTAATGAGAAAACATCCGATAAGATTTGTTATTAACGATGTTGTAGGCGGATGTTAATAATTTGATAGAAAGGAGTCTCTATGTACTGCCAAACTACTTTTATTTGTAAATAAAAGCTAGTGTCAAGTAGTAGTTTTAGATTCTTTTTTTTTGTTGAAAGTTCGAGATATAGGCACATATTTTTATCAATTTCTAAAACAATCTGGACTCACCATCTATAAGCTTCCTGAATTCCTTCAACGCGGCTTCCCTCAATTCGGGAGTCTCCCTTAGTTCGATCCTGGCCTTCTCGACAAAGAAGTCTCCGACGTCCGGAGAGTCCTCGAACTCGAGGACATGCTGGCCCATCCGGACAATCTTCATGTTCTCCATGGCTAGGACTGATACCGACTGACCGTTCATCCGCCAGACCGTCCCCACTCTTGCCTTCTGTTTACAAGCCCACCACGCTTGTTAACTGTTTGTCACTGTCACTGTATATTATTCTACAATACATTTAAAACGCTTTAACATAATAAATATGACTTCAATGCCTTCATTTGTTTTAATCTCATGTTATAAAAATTAGAACTTGAAAGATATTCAATTTAGGATCCAGAACAAGGAAATTATAATGTAACCCATTATAATTTTTGTCATCCTTAACATTGGCAACTTTTGTTTTATGTCCATAACTTGGTTTATATAAATTTCTAGGAATATGTAGTTTTAGTTTTAGATTTTAAATTGAGAATTGTTACATTTTGTCTCAATTAAGGACATTTATAATATTGTGGGATTTGTAAGGAGAGATTGTAATGTTAAGATAAGTAGAGATATTTAAGAAGTTGGTTGAAGACATCAAGATCTGCAAAAAAGCTCGTATAAACAATTGCCCAATTTCCAGCAGTGAAGTTGGAAATTTAAGATTTGTGTTTTTGTTAGTTTATAAAATAAATAACTGCTCCTAAAGGTCCCAGGTTCGAAACCCGGCTCATGGCAAAAAAATTATTTATTCCGTTTCATTGCCCGCGGGGCGACCCGGAGTAGGTATACCTACTGGGTCACACCCAGCCTCTATAAAGTGGGTACCCTTAATTAAAATAATTAATTAAGGGGAAAACCTGGCGGTTGAGCGTGATCTCGGTCAAATCACCTCCTTGCACAACCGTAGACCAAGAAACAGTGCTTTCTCTAAATAGTATTAAACCCAAGACCCTTCATGGGTTGTAGTGGTACAGATTATGTTTTTCTTTTTTAGAAGAACATTTAGCTTCGTCTCTTTTCATCTGTATTTGTAAAGAGAGAATAAAGCATTTATTATAAAAAATTTCATAATGTTTATTATAGGTGGACCGATGGTTTAGAGAGAACCCAAAATCTGTTATTTCTGTTTATAAAATATTACGGGAATTAATCGAAACAACCATAGTAACAAAGCAACAAACCGACTTATCCTGCATTAGTCTTTACAAGAAGCTCGGTCCTTCACTCAGGGGTAATCACTCAGAAATACCGATCTCAGCATTTAACTAGCTTCTATGGCTTTCTGAGGAAGAGTGGTATCTCTATATTGTTCCTTGTGATACGAATGAAGTTGGCAATGATTATGAGAGAGTGTCAATATTTCTTCAAAGTTTCAAACAGGAGTATTGAAATGATTTCCAAAAACGCATTTTCTAATTCCCTTTGTCCATTAATTTTTGTCACGTATGTAGTGGTCCAGGTATCTAAAAAAATGATAATCCGTAGGCGAGAGGTCTGGAGAGTATTGCGGATGTGGCAGAGTTTCATATCCAAGTTCCAACCGTTTTATGACGTCACACGTGAGCCATGTGGCCGGGCGTTATGATGCAAAATTGCTCCTACTGATTAACAAAATATGGCTCCATTATTGCCAATTTCTGATGCATTGCATTCATTTGGTTACAATACGATTCGGCATTGTTGGTTGTTCCAGGATTTAAGAAGCTGTCCTGTATAAAACCAAGTGAAGCCCACCAAACAGTAATCCATCACCTTTGTTTGGTGAGTTGGGGCTTTGGAAAATTTTCTGCTGCTTCTTCTTTGTCGAGCCACTATGCAGAACGTCTACTGTTATCGTAAAGTATCCACTTTTCATCAGAAGTAATAATTCTAGACAGAAAAGGGTCATATTTGTTTGAGCAAAGAACTTCTCAACGCTGTTATTTTTTTGGTGGTCGTTTAATGTGCGTGGAACCAAATTTTCAAGCTTTTTTACCTTTCCAATCGCCTCGAGGTGGTCATTCCCTGCAAGTTTTCGAAGAGTTGTTCTGGGGTTTCCTTTCACCGAATGCTGCAGAACATCGTCATCAAGAAAGGAAGTCCATCCACGACCTTCTTTGTCTTCAAGGCTGAAGTCTCCCTCCCAAAGTTTTTTGAACCACCGTTGAACTGTGAACTCATTAATGCTACTCTCGCCCCAAACTCGATTGATGTTTCTGGCCGTCTGAGCTCCATTCCGGCCATGTTTAAACTCGTAAAATCAAATTTTACGAAAATTACGCGTTGACATCTTAGTAAAGACAGAATTATTTCTAAGCAGCGAAGTGCAACATAGGTAAACAAACATTATCGTTTGAAAAAAGATTAATTAATGTTGACATTCGTACAAATGAATAATCCAGTAAACATAAACAGTTTGTTATTTAGAGTGGTATTTTAAAGAAAACTCAAAATCGTGCATTATTTTCCGCACAACCCAATAGCTCAAACAATACTTAAGTATATATCGTCGAAGGTGTTTCTTGTTTGAATTTGACATTTATGAAAATTATCGTCATTTATTTTCCAATATAAATGTATTTACTCGTCAATGAACTTTTTAATTGTTTATTTACTCATTTTTATCAGTATTTACATCCATATAAATCCTAAAGATGCGTAAATATAGAAGTGTTATTTCCCCATGTTAATTTTTTTTATTTCTTGTTTTTGATATTTTTCACCTGCTATCAATATCTAGAGAAATAAAATAAATATTTTAGTTTAGCAATAATGTCTCTATTAGTTAAATTAGATAATGGTGTATCTGTCAGTTTCAGAAGTTTTTAAAAACACCTATAAGCATGTATTAATTATATAAAGTTATTAACTTTATATTTGACTGTTTATATTCGATAGTTTTTCATCGATACAATCGAACTATCGATAGTAAATAAAAACTATCGACTATTGCCCATCGCTGCTAGGAACGGTCCATCTCTAAATGTAATATTCCAGTGCTTACTATACGATAAGCACATAACCTGTTACAGATTAATTAACATTAATTGGTAAATGCGCAGGAATGTTATTATAAGGTTTTAAACTTTTTTTACCACGTCTGTATTCATTGAAATGGAATGTAAGATAAAAATACAAACAAGATCTGGAAAATGATGGACACACGTCTTCTCTTATCAATAATCATTTTAGGAAAATCAGATGAAATTCGGTTTGGATAGTTTGTTTTTTGAAATTAAAATAAATGTAATTGTTATGCTGGAATTGTTTCTAATGACGTGAGAATTTCAGTTTTGAATGTTGTTTGAAAACACAGGCGTTCAATCTTGTTGAATCCATTTCACATAATGAAGAGGAAATGTAGTGCTGACAATAGAGATATAATTATACAGGTTTGTAATGTGTTGTAATTTGCAGTATAAGAAAAATATGAATTATGATGACGTAATTTTCTCTCCACAACTTGAAACCGATTCTTCAGAATTTGGTACCTAAATCACATTTGCTAGGTATTTTTAAGAATTTCTTTATCACAGAATAAATTATAAGTGATCTAATAAAAAATACACCCTTCAGTATCAAACTGTATTATCAATTGATACAATGCTAATAATTGTAGAGGGGCTGTTTTTTTTTTTTTTTTTCAGGGAATAGTTACCTTTTTCGGCGTGTGACTAAGTGTCTAGCTGTTTTCGCCTTGTAGAGATGTCTCCCCCTGGGTCGGCGCCTTATTCTTGGTCTACTAGTCCACATTGAACCAGCTTTAGTCCTCTTAATTTTCTTCTTATTCCTCGTGCCATTAGCTACCTGCATGACCTTGCGAATTCCATTGAGAATGATATCTCCCGGAACGCCCAACTGTTCACTCAGAAACCTTACGATCTCTTCGCCGGAGATCCCCGTTTCGTTGTAAAGGTCATCTAGTGGATCAATTAGTGCTGATGACGAGTTTTTGTTAACTTTCTTTTTCCTGGTAGGTCTAACCATTTTTAAATTTTTACCAAGCCGAACTTGAAATTTGGTCAGTTAAATCTCCAAGGTTGTACGATGTAATGGATTTTCTCTTATCCGGTCAGTTACATGTGTTTTTTTTAATTTCTATATGTTTTTTCATTTAAATAATCCATGTTTAGCTGTGTGAGAATGATTCAAAATTTCACTTCTATAAACAAAATTGATTAAAACAACTAAATACAAAAATAAATGCTTGCGTAGAATGAAGCCTGAAAGATGGCGGCTAACCACAAACACACATGATCATATTGTAGCTGGAATTCCGAACATTACCGAGTAGCCAGGTCCACCTGACAGTAAATAATGAGGATCGACCTCCATGCCTGAATATTAAACCGATTTAACTATATTTTTTATAGGTTTATGGCAGTATTAGGCGGGGAATATATTTCTATGTATTTAGGAAATTATAAGAAACAGGAATTTCATCGGCTTATTGCAAAAAGTAAAAAAATATTTTAAAAAGTATCATCAGGGAGTGGAGACGTTTATTATATAAATAAATATTTTTCCCTAAAAATATAGAGTATTGAGGATAAATTGGAAATTTGGGTCAATAAAAATTTAGAAAATACGAAGAAAAGTCGGTACAAATAGAAACGTGTCGCTGCTAGAATCATATCTACCACGCAGTATAAAAAGGGGCGGATGGCCGAGCGGGCTAAACCGAGTGCACAGTAGTGTGCATTGCCCGGAAACCTGATAATCGAAGTTAGAGAGGATAAAATAATTACGATTTCGTGTTCCGATGACGGGTGGACTTTTAAATATAGTATTAACCCTTCGCCCTCACCCACTGGCCCGAGAAGCCCCACGTATAGCCTAAAGGCGAGGATAACAAAAAAACGTATAAACCCTGGTATAGTGCGTCTTAGATAAGTTTGCCTGTAGGAGAAGAGAACTCGTGGAGCCTCTCTCCACCGTCCCTCCTCACCCTAGTAATCACCTGAACCGAGAACAGGTTCTTCTGTGTTAGATTTTCTTCTAAATTCTAATTTATGAAAGAAATTAAAATAAAGAGTGGTGAAAGAAATTTCAACTTGTAAAAAAAAATGTAAAAGTACGTACGAATGAATGAACGCAAACGAGTGGGGAATCGGCGGAAAAACGTTTTTACACTGCGCATCTCCCTACCAACTACCAACTCATCTTAGACGGACTCTACAAGAATCTTTCATACTATTTGAAGAGTAGGCAGATGACCCAATGAAAGACTACTGTGGGTAACCACGGGGTACCGGACCGAGTCTCATGAGGCACGTTTCTTACTCCAAATCAATTTAAATACTAAACGGTAACCTTCTAAATTTATTTGAAGCGACTTTAGAGACATGATAAATTTAAAAAAAAAAACGCGTCATACCGCTTGGACATTTTGAAATAATTTGTCTCAGAAGTGACCAGGTACCGAAAAGTACACAAATAAACTATACAAATCGACTGAGTCATTTTGGAAAAAAATTTAAAACCTTAAATACTATTTTTTTCACTTCAATTTAATAAGTGACAGTGATCATTTACAACTTATGACAATCAGCAGATAGCCCCGTATAGTTATGAGATAAGAAATAAATTTAAAAAATAAATAAATAAAAATATGGCTTGACAGGCATGAGGAAAAGCAGTACCCATCTTATGGTAACCTTTAATTTACTTCAAAATTATGTTAGTAGATCCTTAATCTTTTGAAGAATGTTAGTAGATCCCTCATTTTATGAGGAATGTTAGTAGATCTAAATTATATTATAGAAGAGAATATAAAAATCAATTTTATTCTAGGAAAAGTCCCTTAAGAATAACAACATTGTTCAAACAAATTAACATTAAATCTGGGCAAAAATGACTAACAAAAAAAGATAATTGATAAGAAAAGTATTTACATAGCCGTAAAGATATATTAAAGAAAACAGATGAGCAATAGGATCACAATAATGCAATATAGCTGACAGAGGTGCCCATCCACCCTAAGACCGAAGGCGCATGCCTCACAAAAAACTATTATTGCCCCCCTCACTTATGAGATGTTAGTTTAAAAGATAGTAGATATAATATCGTTTTGTTCCTCGAGAATACCTTAAGCACAAAACATTAGGTCAAAGACAATTACAGTTAGTAAAGGCATTTAGAATCAACAAGTAACATCAGTAAGAATCACATTGGACCCAAATTTTAAAGACCAATGGACGTAGAAGGCGTACAAGATGAAGACCGAATAGAATGTAAATACTTTTAACCCTCATATCCCTATCTCTCCCGATTACCATCACACGCTTATAGGAAGTAATAGGAAACTTTGGTGGGATTTCTGAATTTTTTTATTGATATTACACAGAGAATTACCACGTGCAGAATGAGAGGACAGGTAAGAATTGGAATCTATAGGTGGCTAATTTCAGCTTTAATTGTTTGCAGTAATAGTAATAATAGTTGCAATCAGCAGGATGTCTAATACATTGGTATAATTATCTGGTTCGGCGTTATAATGCATCAGATCCGGAAGATGTCGAGGTAAAGTATTTTTATCAAGAATTCTGGAGAACTCGATTGGGGAGGAGGCAGTCCAGACATCTTGTTAGATAATACTAGTATATATATAGTATTTCTAGGATTTGACAAAAGAGGTTCCAGCTAACTAGACTTCTAATAAAAAACGGTGGAAACGGTTTGGAAATAGGAGTAAGTAAAACTTTGACAGTTAGTGGGCTATGGTCACAGCAGAGTTCATTTAAACGTGTAATTTAGGGGGTCTGAGGCGCTGTTTTAAAGCACAGATATCTGGATATGGCGGTGAAGTAGGTAGGAGAGCTAAGGGAAGGAAGGTTGAACTGGGAATTCAGTACAGACAGCAATGTTTGTCGACGTAAATTCGTGGTTATAGACCTTCAGTTTTGATACTTGGTGTTTAAATCTGCACCTAGAATAAGAAAATGTCCTGAGTGATTGAGGAGGAGAGTGAACTCTATATTGGACATGAATTGGCTTGGAGGGTATTATGTCGAGCAAGTGTGAGTGAATATGAGCAAGTCTTGATAACTACAGCGGTGGTTTCTAGGAAAACATGAATAGGCTTAGAAAGTAGACGACGAGATAGAGGATGATGAACAATGACAGCAGTACCGGCATGTGCTCACCCGTTTGTGCCGTTTACCATAGGATTCCTTTCATGAGTAAGGTTTATTTTTCTACTACAATTTTTATAATCTATATTTAATCAAGTTGTTATTAAAAAGAAGCAAGCAATCAACTATCTTAAGAGGAGTATGCGAAATCTTTAGCTTTAATATACACGAAATGAACGCAATTTCAATGCATTGCCACGATTGATATTTTAAAATCTTTAACTTTGAAACAGTATCGTAAACTATTGAGATAGGCTCAGTCCACTTCCATTTAACATTGTCATGGCCGAGGATGAAGAATGAAAAATTGTTGAAGGTATGCAAGTGAAGAACGCCCAAAGCAATCGTTGGATATTGGAATATGCTTTCCGTCCAGGCCCAATGCTTCGTTTATGCAGACGACATTCTGGTGTTAGCAGACATTGTGGATTCTCCGCAAGTTGCACGTGAGGAGTGGTCCGAGGAGCATTAGAGAACTCTTCCTCAATCCTGGTAAGATCAAGACTATGCAGGTAGGATGGGAGAAGGCCGAGCTGAAGATTGTGTGTAAAGGACACTAGCTAGAACAAGTAGACATTTATGGATATTTGGGAACTGTCTTTAAACGGTTGGGAAGATAGATGAGAAAGTTATGCATCGATTGCATAAAGCTAACCAGGTCTTCTTCCGAATTTCCAGAACACTGGTGGTGAGCAAGGGGTGAGAAAAGAGACGAAGGTAAGCATCTTTACTTCAATCTTAGCGCTGTTCTTGTTTTATGGAGCTGAGAGCTTGCTATCATTGGACAAGAATGTCTCACTAGTTACGTCAGCAGAAATGAGGTATCTCAGAAGAGTTGCTGGAAAGGCGAGACGAGACTGCGTGGGAAGAACAGGACAATGTGCTATGTATTGAACATAGCAAATAAGTTTTTAAATTTTTGTGAGATGTCAAAAACTGACAGCGTCAAGAGGGTGGAGCAGGTAGATAAGGACCGACCTGTACCTGAATCCTGGAGAAGGCTTAGAGTAAAAACTAGTAACGGGCTAAGTAACTGGTCCCTTTTAGGGTGTTACCAGTCATTGTGGAGTAACAGGGTGAAATTAAGAACCAATGAAAACCATCCTTGCCCCACCCTGAATATTTCTATAAAATCTCCTGCAAAGTAAGAAAAGGGGTCTTATGTTGATGTCCGGCCTTGAGGATAGGTCTTATGTTGGATTCTGGCCTTGAGGATAGGTCTGATGTCTTTCTTCCGATCTTGGGAACGGAAGTACACAGATGAGCATCTTGGAAGAGTTTTTGGATCTGGGCTTTACCAGATAACCTCGGATCAGCAGATGCAGCGATGAAATGTACCGACCACACCACTTCATAGACAATAGCTAAGTTGTAATTCCCAATCCTAATGTTAAAATATTTCATGGCAATAATTCTCAAACAAACCATCTGGAATCATACCTGCAAAGTCATTATTAAATCATGTTTTTATTTCATTTATTGTATATAGTATTTGTACATAAAGATTTCCATTTAATTTATGTATATATATATATATATATATATATATATATATATACTTTATTAAATATAAAAATAAATTAGGTTTTTTAGTATAAGTTATTTTAATTCTGCCACCTATTTATATCATGATGGTCACAGGTAATGTTGGTAATTAGAAAGCATGATAAACACAAACCAGCCTTTGAGAAAAGAAATCCAATTGATTAATCCTGGACCAACAAACATGTTAAAGAACCAAATTTGTTAACTAATCTGTTATTAATGATTTTTATTGAACACTTCTCGGTAATTATCATCAATAATTATTCAGTGGCAACCCGATAAATTTCAACACCCCTAAAACACAGTAAC